TTCTAAATTAATGTATTTCCTGTTTTACCCCTAGGATAGTTTGTTTGAGTGTTATGGCCCAAGGGGCAATTTTGTAATTTCGAATTTTCTCATATTGGGGCCTATAAATAAGGGCCTTAAGCTATTGTAATGGATGGTTGATTGATAATGAAAAGTTTTATGTTCTTGTTGATCTCTTAGTGAGTTCATGTGATCTCTTAGTGAGTTCATGAGAGGAGAAGCCCGAGGAGGGTAATTGGCAATACCCGTCAATCTCTGGAAGAGTCCGAGGTTCGCGGTTTTTACGATCTCTTTGTGAGTTCGTTAGTTATCTCTATCTTTCTCGTATATTCTTGTTCATCTCCTTTCCCCCCTCTTCATGCAACATTCTTCTTCTCCACCACAATCTCCCGCAAGCAACGACCAATAGTTGAAAGAAGCCAAACCTCTCCCTAGTTTCGCCATCATTTGAGTCCCTACCCGCCGGCCACCCTAGTTCCGCCGGCCGGCCATCTTGCCGCCGGCCTCTTCCCTCTCCACCACTTCCCCACATCTCCCTTCCCTAGTTCTCATTGGAATTTGAATTTCAAAATTCAAATTCTTTCCAAATTTGGAAATTCCATTTATGGAAAATTTTGAATGACTTCAAATCTAAAATTAAATTGATTTAGATTTATTTAATTTTTTTTCCTAGTCATCATTCATGTTGGAAACTCCTCTCCCCTTTTCCCTAACTCCCCCTTTCTCTCTCCATACCGCCAGCCCCCTCATTGGGCTCCCCATTGATTGCCATCAATACACCCCTTCTATTTTTTTGAAATCTGAAATTGATTTCAATTAAAACTTTCCCCCATCCCAATTAAAACTGAAATCTATTTCAGTTTTCCATACAAAACCCTCTTCCTCCCATTAATTCTCCCTCATTAAATCCCTTTTCAAATTGTTGCCTAAGTTTCCTTCTTTGGCCTCACTTGCTGCCGGCCCAGTAAACAAATTCCAGGGAATTGTTTCCTACTGGAAAGGAAATTAATTTCCTCCTCCTCATACAGTCGGATTCTAGCCCTCTCTACATCCCGCCGTTTCCCCCCTTCATTGGCTTGGATTTAAACTTATCTCCTCTGCATTAATTGAGTAACTAATGCTCCACCATTCAGTCAATCAACTTCCAAACCTGTTCCGGAATTTTCTCCTTGGCTGTTTTGAGATTCCAGCAAACAGCCGATTATTCCCCACAACTATTTCCTACTCTATTTCCCAAATCATTTTTCTGATTTTGGAAATAGAAGTCTACAGTTTTTCCTGCTTTTTCCTCACCGGAAATCTGAAATTTTCTCAGCTTTTCTCTTCTTCATCAAGGCTGAAATTTCTCAAGGCCTCACCTAGGCTTGCTTTCAAATACCTTGGAGAGGAGATCCTCTCCTTAGCAAAGTCTGCGCTTCCGTTTTACATCAAATACACTAGGATCTATGTGAAGGAACTCAAATAACATGGAACATGATGAAGTGCTTCCTTCCCCTGACGGACAAAAATGAAATTGGCCTATGCATAAATCTCTATCAGAAACAAAATTGGGTATTGCGCTCTTTATTCCCTCAGCTAAAGACTTGTTTGATGCCCTAGTTAATATCGCATACTATCATAGTGTATGAACATATTAAGGAGTCAGTGAGAATGTGACCACCGTTTTTATGAATATAGTAATATACCCATAAAATTTAAAAAATAACATGCATTATAGGATAAGTATATAAATCCTCAAGAATAAAGTTAAATAAGTGCTAAAAAGAAGTAAATTTAAAAATAATTGCTAGTTACAAATAGAGTGAAGATGACTACAGCATACATACAATCAAACATGCAAAATTCATTAATTTCATGCATGCATGTGGTATGTTCCAGTATATTGCATATTTAATAATCAAATAACAACATAAATAAACATAAAAGGAACAGTAGTTCAATTTGAATAGATGAAAGTCGACAAGACCGAAAAGAGAGTAGTCAAATGATATTGCAGACAGAGGAAGAATGAAAGCGGGATAGATAGTGATTGTTAAATCAACTAATAAAAATAAAAAAAAAGATTAAAAAAAAAACTAAGAAATGAGGAATTGAATAACCCAGTCAATTTATGAAATAATTTGAAGGCAATACACTTGCAATTCAAAGTGTAACAAATCAGAATTGATGAAAATGTAGTTTGACTTCTAAGAATTAATTCAGAGTGAAAATCAATATCTCACTTTTTAGCAAGAAAGAATAGGTCCAAGGAAGATAGCTAATTCATAGTCAGATTAACAATCGCTGCATATATGTAGAAACTTTGATAGCAGGGATGAGATAAAACTATCACGAGAATTACCAGAAACACCAAGGCAAAGCAACATCTATAGATCAGCATAATCAAATTAGGAAAAGAAAAAAAAAATTTAATTTGAATTAGTATTCTGACTTTTACTAAATTTTTTTATGCTAAAAAAATTGGAATGATAAAAATCCAAACAAAAAAAATTCAGAAACATTAAATTCATTAGAAAATATAAGATCAGCCTGGACTACAGGCACCAATTTCACAGATATTATTAATATTTACAAGGCTACAACAACAACAACAACAACATCAAGCCTTTGTCCCACTACGTGGGGTCGGCAATTAATATTTACAAGGCTAATATAAAAAAAAATTAATAGAAATTATTCTGTCATATGTATTGCAACTTATCACTCATAGCTTAATAATTATAATAAATAAACAATCGTTTGAATTATTATGGGAGAATTATTTAATTATTAATTCAGAAAATAATTACTTCATTAACTATTGTAACTTTTTTTAAAAATTTAATCACTCATAAAATATAAAGAAACCATCATGAGATCATAGGAATGCACTAGGATCTATGTGAAGTAATTAAACTTATCCAATCACTGCATATATGCAGAAACTTTGATAGCAAGGATGAGCTGCAACTATCACGAGACTTACCAGAAACACCAAGGCAATGCAACATCAATAGATCAGCCTAATAAATTTAGGAAAAGAAAAAAAGTTATAATTTTCCAGCACTGCAATATTAGATAGGTTCGTAAAATTATTATTGCAAGATTAAGAAGCAAAAAAGAGAAGACCATGAGATCTAAATTAACAGGTATAGAAATTGTTCACAATGATTTGTAAATCGTAGGTTTGATATATCAACTAGTACTCAATAGAAATACATGGAAAAAAATTATAAAATTAACCAAAAAAAGTCAAGATTGAACTAAGGATGCTAAACTTTGGTTTCATTCAAATTTAAACTTACCCAAATTTGATTACATGGTAAGTTCAAAGAAACAAAAATAAGGTGACGAAGGAAACTTTATGTACTTGTGTTAAGTAGTTTCATGCACCTATCTATTTGAAAGGTATCAATGTGTGTTAAGAAGTACCACGTGAAGATGCCATAGAACATAGGAACAATTTCATTTCCATCATGATGTTTGTTTGGTTGTCTTCCTTGACCATCACAAGATTGCCCGATAGGTCATTGGATTCAAAGGAAACCCGCCTAAGAAAAAAAATCATTGACTCAAAAGCAAAAGTAATGCAAAACCAAATCAGACCCACATTGGGGTCCAAGTCACCAAATCAGTCACTTCAATAGCAAGGCCAAGCTAGATATAGAAAAATGCTGTCAGACTACAACCCCGCCATAACCATAGGTCCATATGTAACCATCTTTGGTTCGAATCTATTTTAAGAGAAACCCATTAATTTACTATATTTGAATCATTTCTAATCAAGCTGACTTTAAGAGTCTTGATAAAATGGAAAGAAGTTAATGTTTTATAAATGACAAGAGAATGTTATAGCAGCATATTAAAATATATAAACTAAAAATCACTAAGAACACTATATTGTGTGTGGGTTTTGTCCAATAATTAAAGATATAGTTGTTGTGACAAGAAAGATAATATTATAATGAATCTAGGTCACAACTATAAAGATATTTAGTATAAAAGTATCACATTAGAGTATTGGATACTGACCCCTATAAGAGAAAATTATAGAACAACTTTATGAGATTTGGGAATGCACAAAAAGGCTACAAGATGCACCGATTGGACTGAGGGATAGGAATAATGTTGAAAAAAAAAACAATAAAATAAAAAAGGAAAAGAAAAGCAAAGAAAACATGATGTATGAATAGTAACCAAGCTATAAATATAAGCTAAACGCCACATACAACAATTTAAGGGAACGAATGGAATAGGAAAACTATCAAACAAGATTATTGCTGAAAATATTTATTGGCGCCTGAAGTTCAACTATTCAATGAGATCTATCTTCTAGTTTTGTTGCTCCCTAAAGTAAAGAAGGTTTGCATGGGCCCAAATAGTACAAGACTTATAGAAAGCAAGAAAGATACACAGTGAATGATGTATGATTGGTTGCTGAAACAAGAAACAATTTCAGGATGAAGAAATGTAATATTTTTGCTTTTGAGATTTACACATAAGCTGCCTACGGTTAGTGTTTCCAATGTGCATAATACATTAAGCTCATATCAGTGCAAACATCTCAAAATTTTAGCTACTTTCACCCCAATCAATTCATGAACGACCCAAGAATTTACCTAACTCTATGTATTCGACTACTAAATTCAAAGGAGTGACTCTTTTTTTGACACTCCACCCACTTGCACTCCATATTAGAATTGAAAAGAAATAAATTAAATAGTTTCTTTGTAGAAATTAACAAACTCTGAAATTCAGTTATTAATATCTCAAACAGTTCACTACTGAACTTCATGGTACATGAACTCTTAAGAATTAGTCTACCCAGGACTTGGATGGGCATATCAGGTTACAATTTGTACATGTAAAAAAAAAGAAGTATAAAACAGACATTAAAAACTAAAGCAAGCATAAATTGAAAGAAATTAGCCTGCGGAAATCTAACAAAGAACTGAACGAAATTGTCACACTTTATCATTTAACAAATTCACATAATTTATAGAAATAATAAACATGTATACCTTGCTTCTTTGTCAAATCCAAAGCGCGCACCAAAATAGAATGCGACAGCCAGTAACCATGCATCACTGTGAACTGCCACTAGTGATAGCCAGTCCTTCTCATCCATGCCATCCCTGGCAAAATTTATGCCTAATGCAGGCTCAGGAAGCTCCGGAGGGACTTCCTCAGCAGGCAAGTTTACTTCCCATGTCTCAGTAGGAAATCCATACAGACATAAGTTATCCTTCTCTGCACATAACAAAAAGGAAATAAATTTATGAAGTGCCTTCAGCATATCAATCACTCTCCACAAAAATACTACCGGCTAAACCATCAAATAATATTCATAAATTCCATTTTCTAAATATAGGAAATAAATAAGGCTTCGTATTGCTTTTAAAAGCAGTTTTTTAGAACTTTCTTTTTTTAAAAAGAAAATTTTGTATGAGAAAACTGTTATAGAAAGCAGTGTTTAAGTGAGAAATCTGTCCCAAATGAAGCCTAAGAATAGACCACAAAAGCATACAACATGCTATGTTAGGAAATTTGAATGAGAATGTAAGAAAAAAACATATACTACAAGTTATTAAAGCTAAATCAATCACAAAAACATCAATAAACTAACAAAAATGTGCCTAAAACAATTGAAAAGCAATCGTACGGCACATTCAAAGCCCTCCAAGAAAAGAGGAAGCATGATAGGTAAAATAAATCAAACCACCCCTGTTCTAATATCGGAGAAACCATCCTCAGCGATAAAATGTGCGCAGGGTTATAATCAGGTAGTAATCTCATCCAGGATCCAGTAACCACAAAGAAAGGTACACATAGGAGAAAACTCACCAGGATCGCAGAGCTGGTAGAACTTCTCCACCTCTGCAGCAAAGGAAAAGATTCTACACCATCACCCAAAATACAACCAAAAAATGAAAAAAATACAACACGATCAGAAAGAGAAACAGAGAAAGACCAGTAGTAAGAGCCTTGATCATCCCAGCCCTCCTGCCCCTAAAATCCCTGAAAACCTCCTCCGCCGTCCGCGGATTGTAAGCACCCGGTCCTCCATCCATTTGTAGCGTCACTTCTACACTGCTCTAAAGCACGTTACCGCCCTACAATATCGCCGGCTGTTGAAGAACAAAGCAAGCGTCGACTTAGGGTTTCCTTACCCGAAGAAAAACTAGCATCCAACCCGTCAAACTCTCTGAAAACGAATTGGGGACAGGGATGAGAGGGCGAGGTAAGAAGAGGGAAGGAGAAGGAGGGAGCGAGGGAGGGAGGGAGGGAGGGAGAGAGAGAGAGAGAGAGAGAGAGAGAGAGAGATGTGAGACACAGAGGGAGAGAGTGTGAGGAGGGGGAGACAGAGGTGCGTTTGTTCTTTTGTGTCACCGCGGAATTATTTTTGCTTTCTTCAACCCGATTTTGATTCTGACCGCGGAAGGAAATATTCTGTTTGATTATGAGGAACTTTTATTTGGTCAGGTGATCTGATTTAGCTTTATATTTGGATATCGATAAAATAGTGTCACGTGTTCTTAATTTTTATCGTGCAGCCCGACAATTCGACCCGGAACGGATCCGGAATTGCTATGTTCTCGTATTGCTCGGTATTGCTAGGTATTGATCAATTTTGCTTGGCAATAATGAGAAATATCATTCTATGAAGACCAATACATAGCAATACCGAGTTTTGTTAGGTATTGCTCGGTATTGGTGTTTACAGAGCGGTATTTCTCATTATTGTCAAGCAATACTTAGCAATACCAAGTAATACCTAACAATACACGAACATAGCAATCCCGAGTTCCGATCAGGGTCAAGTCGTCGGGCCGCGCAGTAAAGAGTAAGAGCACATGATGACATGTTATTGGCGTCCGAATGTAGAGCTACATCAGGTTGCCTGACATAATAATTGTTTGATTATGAGGGATCAAAATCAGTTTTTTAATTACTTCATTTAACAAAGATAATAAATGTTTATAATATATAATAGTAAAATTTATGTATTAAATAAACAAATCATAATATTTTGTATTATAAGTATGTAAATCGCCATTTTTGGGATTGATTTTTGATAAATCCCTTCATATTAAAAACAGGGATGGATTTATATGCCAATACCTAAATTCATATATTTAATTATATACCACTTAAAATTAAATTATATAATAAAACATCACTAATATTAATATATTTAAAATAAAAAATGCATTTTTCATACATTTATTTTGATATGATATAAACATTAAAGGTGCATATATGTAAATATAAAAATTTAAGTATTAGATATGTAGATATATTAAAATTTTGTGGTATGTATAATAACAACAACAACAACAAGCCTTTATCCCACTACGTGGGGTCGGCTACATTAATCATTTTTATCCATTGTGTCCTATTAAAAGTCAAATTCTTATTTAAATCTAATAAAGAAAGGTCATTCCTAATATTTTATAACCAAGTCTTTTTAGGTCTACCCCTATCTTTCTTAACATAAGTCAAATCTAATACCTCTACTCTCCTAACCGGATCATCGGAAGGCCGCCGTTTTCTGTGACACTGTCGTTGTCAGGTCCGAAGTCTTGGATGAGAAAAGTGGAGGGTTGCGTTAGGTAGTCGACATTCAGCGTAAAACTTGTCGAACAATAAATAGAAAAATTTTGTGGTATGTTTATAAATATTAAAATCTTAAACCCTATTAATGTTTTTAAGAGAAAAAATATGACATAATATGCTAAATTATGCTATGATGGGATTAAAATATGTTGGATTTAGCTTCATATAAAAATTCAATACGCAAAGATAGAATTTGTAAGAGGCCAAAATTTTCTATATAAAAAATCAAAGAAGAGAAAAACCACAAGGTATAGCCGAGTTACAATAATTCATTATATAATTTTAAGTATAATGATTTACTCTTATCTACAATTAGAGAATATAAGGTTACATAACTGAAAATAATTATTTGATTCTCATTGTAAAGATTAAAGAAGTTGGGATTAAAGTGCAATAAAATAATTGTAACCAAGCGAAAATAATCAGATAATAAAATTTTACATACATGATAATATTTTTTGATATAGTTGTCGATAATGATCACCAAAAAAAATTTAGTATACATAAATTCTAATGTTTTATTTAATTAGTTTAATTGCACGTCGATTTAATCCACGTGAATAAAAATTAAAAAATAAAAATTCATATTATGAATATTTTAATTATATTAGCTTTGTTAAAATGAAAAAATATTAAGTTTATCACTATTAAGTAATTAAAATTACTAATATTTATTTGCATGTGCTTATAGTGCAGGCAAATTAAAAAAAATTAAAATTAATATTGAAAAATTATCAATAATATTTGATACGTCATCACAAAATTAGCTTGATCAGGCACGAATCTCGAGGCAAAAGCTAGTTGGAGACTTCAAAAAAATTTTACATACATGATAATATTTTTTGATATAGTTGTCGATAATGATCACCAAAAAAAATTTAGTATACATAAATTCTAATGTTTTATTTAATTAGTTTAATTGCACGTCCATTTAATCCACGTGAATAAAAATTTAAAAATAAAAATTCATATTATGAATATTTTAATTATATTAGCATTGTTAAAATGAAAAAATATTAAGTTTATCACTATTAAGTAATTAAAATTACTAAATTTATTTGCATGTGCTTATAGTGCAGGCAAATTAAAAAAAAATTAAAATTAATATTGAAAAATTATCAATAATATTATTTTATTTAATTTGTAAAATAAATCTTAGGAAAAAAATAAACTTTATTTATAATTTATAATAAAAATTAACAATGCACACAAATTTAAAAATAATCTAATATTATAATTAAACTTTCATATTGCAGATTAATATTAATTTAACATTAAAATATAATCTCATTCAGATTCTCAAGTTGTCTAAAAAGAAAATAAAAAACAAATAATGACAAATACAGTTTTAAGTAGGGCTGTCAATATTGGACCCGACCTGAAAACCCGACCCGAAAATTTCGGGTTTCGGTTGACCCCAACCCGAAACGAATCGGGTTCGGGTTAAACAATTTGACCCATTTAAAAAATCGGATCGGGTTGGGGTTTACCCGTTGACCCGAAATCGACCCATGGACCCGAAATTGACCCGTTTGTGACCCGAAAACCCGTTTTTGACCCATCAACCCTAGATTGATCCGTTTTTTACCCGATTTTGACCCGAAAAAAGGAGATTGACCCTTTTTTAGACCCAAAAAATTACATATTTTTGTTGGTCAAGGGTCATTCGGGTCGGGTCGGGTTCGGGTCCAGAAAATCTACCCATTTACAAAAACAGGTCGGGTTGACCTGAAACCGAATAGTGCCAGGTCAGTTCGGGTTCAACCCGAACCCGACCCGTAAACCGAAATTGACACCCCTAATATTAAGGCAAATATGTGTTAACTATGAACATATACGTGAACATAGAAAAAATATCATCATAGGAATGAAGTCGTCATCATAACAAACACAAACGTTACTATTTTCATAAAATAATGTTGAAGGACCACTAAGAACTGAGTGTTTGACAAGATACTCGTGGCCCAGCTCGATTATAGCTCGTTTGTGATCGTTTGATTTAAGGATAAAAAAAAGCGAAGAATTTAATGCACGTGCAATAACTATTCATTGATTAATGCTTCTTTTGGTAAGGTTGCATGGTGATGGTATTAAATATCAAAACAAAGTAGCTGAAAAGTATCATGAAACGATTCTCAAATATAGAAAAGCTGAGAATTATATGCATCAGGAAAAAATAAATTCCTCTTCTGAATTTTTATTGAATGGGTGTTCTCTAAATCATCGGACGCTAAAAAACCTTTTTATAAGATTTCAATCCACACGCAACTCACCTTGTCTTGTTGGTTGAGAGCTTAGGCTTCCAAGTAAGAGGTCTTGGGTTCGAGTCTTTGTGTTTGCGTTGTGTGTGTGAATTTGCCTTAATTGACCTAAATGTCCCAAAAAAAAAATTTCAATCCACCCAAAAATAATATTTTTTTAGTTAGAAATCACGTCGCATGAACACATGATCTAAATATAGGAGAAATTATTCTGTACGAATGTCAAACGAAGTTTGTACTTCAGAGACAAATCAGCAATCAGAATGCGTCATATACGCGGTAAGGAAGCCTAAATTTTTAGTAATTTTTAATAAAAAATTTGAATTTTTATACTAAAGAGTTAATTTAAGAAATAGAAAAAAATCAGTTCCAAACGAGGCCTAAGTTAAAACACGTTAGGTTCAGGGGTGTCAAATCGGGTCAACAGGTTGGGTTCGGGTCGAACCCGGAACTGACCCGGCACTGTTCGGGTCAACCCGAACCCGACCCGATTCGGGTCCGGGTCAACCCGACCCAACACGAATGACACAGAATTGACCCAAAATTGCTAGTTTTCATGTCAAAATCGGGTCAATCTTCATTTTTCGGGTCAAAATCGGGTCAAAAACGTGTCAACCTCGGATTTTCGGGTCAAATATGAGTTTTTGTGTCACTTTCGGGTCAATTTCGTGTTTCCGTGTCAACCCGAACCCGACCCGATTTTTAAAACGGGTTAATTTTTTCAACCCGAACCCGACTCGTTTCAGATTTTGGTTGACCCGAACCCGGATTTTTTCGGGTCGTGTTTCGTGTCGTGTCAAAATTTGACACCCCTATTAGGTTATAAATGAGATATTACCGTCTTTCAGAAAATCCCTTGAGGAGACGACAAAGTTCGTCATTGAGAAAATCAACAACCGCCTGCGACTCCGACGCGTCCAATCCGTCGGCATCGGCGCCAAGGTCCGGAGCCACCGCCTCGTCCTGTGGCAAGTATCTCACGAAACTGCGTCCTACGATTCTTCCATCCCCTTTATTTTATGTTGAAGGCTTCGCCGTGGCAGTCGACATCAGTGATGTGGTGAGAGGCGGGGTGGGCTTCCTGTCACTGGATGAAGACTGACAGAAATGGAAGGAAAAAAAGCAGAGAAGAAGAAGGGAAGAAAGGGAAAAAACAGAGAAAAGATAGGGGAAAATAATCAAGAAGAAAATAAAGAAGAAGCAGAAATGGAGAGGAAGATGAGGAAGGAAAGGAGGACGAAGAAAAAGAAGAAATGAGGTAGAAGTTACCTGTGCGTGAGAGAGGGTCGGCGGCCAGCCGGGCTTTGGATCGCGCGAGAGAAGGGGGAGGCGGAGGGCTTCGTTCCGGCGGCAGGCCGGGCGTGCGAACGAGAGGGAGAAGAGCGCGGGAGCGTGAGAATTCCGGGAGATAAGAATGGCTAACGGAAATTTCGTGACGAATAGTCAAATTAATAAACGGTGAGGATTTATTCAGCTTTTTGAAATCAACGATCAAGATATTATGTGCGAGAGACTCACTAGCGAGTATATATATATAGAATATCAAAAATTTTATATTTGATCAGATAACACTAAAAAATTAAATCATATAAGAAAATGTTATTAATATTAATTTAATTAAATAAAACACACATTTCCAAACATTTAGTTCACTATGATTGAGACATTAAAGTGATAAATAATAAATATTAAAAACAAGGTGCTAGATAAGAAAATATATAAGAATTTTGTGATATTTATGTAAATATTAAAAGCATGCACAATATTAATATTTCGAAGAGAAATTTTTTGTCAAAATATCCTAAATTACGCTATGATATGCTTAAAATTATTGGATATATCTTAAGATCTGTTATACGGAAGAAAATTTGTGGCGATATGGGAAAGACAAAAATATTTTATATAGAAAATCGAAGAAGATGAGCAGCTATAGGGCCTAGTCCAATTTCAATAATTCTTATTATAATTATAGGTACAAGGATCGACTCTTTTGAACAATTAGAGGACGTAGGGTTATACATTTAAAAATAATTATCTAATTTTCATTATAGACATTAGAAAGGGCATATGCCTAAAAATAGACGATTAAAGTATTATAACATGGTTGAATATTTGTTGTCACGTGACAATAATCAAATGAAGAAAGTCGGTAGATTGTGGCAATGATTATTGAAGGTGGTCATCGGTTGTGATTGTTGAAAAATGCAATAGAGCTTTTTTAGCTCTCGAAGCTCTCTCCTAAGATGAAAATTTCTTTGACTGCTCAAGCAGTCCTTACCCTAAAGACATAACAAGAGTTTATAAAGTGGGCTCTCAAAAATCGTAATTTTCCATACGAAGTCTTTTGATCGTATAATAAAATGCACAGATTGTACAATTTAATACATAGATCGTACAGTATGATTAGTTCAATTATGTCGAAGATCATCCTATACGATTCACGACGTATAGTACAAGTAGATATATTGAATCATATATCGCCAAAGAACGAATCAAGTTCATCTAGTTGAGCTCTTTGCTGATAATCCATGACGATAAAGATCATACAACATTATCATTAATGATTGATTAAGTCCTGATTCGATTCTTTAATCTATGTGATTAAATTATGTAACTTTAATTAATATTCGTACGGTATTATCATTTTAAAATTTAAAATTTAAAATTGTCTATTTTAAGTAACATATATTCAAAATATCATATTGTACAGTACGATTGAGTGTAGTATAAATTTAATTAATCTCATTTATTGAACTATTTTAATTAATTTTTATTTGAACATATAGTACAATACGATCTAAAATGTATAGTACAATTAACAAGAAAAAAATATTCAATTTACTCCCTATAATGTGTGTGCGCGTGATTGTTTAGCTAATATACACCTAATATAAAAGACAACAAGAAAAATATAAAAGTATAAACTCTAACACATACTAACTTACACTAATGCAACACGATCTTGAGCCTTGATTCTTCACTTATGCTCAATGTATCTTGTACATGAAATTGTTAGTGACACATAAAAAAAACTTCCAACATGTAAATGCAAGAGTAAGTAAATAAATATCCGACAAAATTTGTAATCATCAAAACACAAGGTCGAGCTCCCATATTGCAACAGATTATTAATGACGGTCATCGATAGTGATTGCTGAAAATTACAATAGAATTTGTTGGCTCTTTAACCTCCTCCTGCTAAAAAAATGATTCACTACTTATAGCTTTTTGAGACGAGCATTTTGATAAATTTGGCCAAAATCCACAACGGCTTAACCAAGCTGCCCATATTGATCCCAATGATCATAAATCATTTATGGAGCATTTAAATATCTTAATGACAGTCACAATTGAATACTCTTGAAGATCATTTAATCATTCAAATAATATTCAAAAGTTTCAAAATAGGTTAAAGATGTAAATAAATATTTTATTTAACACTAATTTAAAAAAAAAATTAATAATTTTGAAGATAAAATTTTTTTCATGTTTTTATTAGCTAAATTTAAATTTAATTTAAAATCAGACTCAGCCTAAAAATTTGACTTACACTTCGATCAAAGATATGATAGCAAACCTCAAACAAATAAAACACAATATTAGAGAAAGTTTTTTTTGAAGAAAAACAAAATTAATTTTATTTATAATATTACCATTTAAAGAATAAAAAAGAACTATCACCCTAAATATATAAAGTTTGATAGTTTATTTTAGAATTTTAATTGTTATTTTTGCAAATAGATAAAAATTAGAGGTTATATATGTAATTATTATACGGTTATAAGTAGAATTTGATTAATTAGGATTTCAAATATGTTTAATCCTTGAATTGTTTGACTATTTGTTAACATTAGGAGCTTAGAGGATTTGAATTAATAGATTAGTAACCATGATTAACGACTAATTTAATCAATGATATGTTAATAAGTTAATTATAATTAATCTAAACTAAAGTAATTAGGGTTAATTAGTGATTAATGGATTGAATAATTTGGTGATCTTATTTGATTATATTTTAATGAATATTTTATCACTAATTAAATTTGAAAACAAACAAATGACTTGCAATAATGCTCATAAAAAATAATGCTTTTATGTAATTTTTATTTGCATTATATCCATAAAAAACAGTCAAGATGTAATTTTATATTTGCTCAAAATTTAATTATGATAAGTTTTCAAATTCTTTAATTTATGTAACATAAACATAATACATATATATATTTTATTATTATATCATACTCATTTTAAAATAAATCTAATATCTCTAAAATTAATTATAATCAAAATTTAACAAGAATATCTTATATTCTTATTGTACATTATAATTATGATAAATTTAATTTCATATGACTCATAATATGCATGATTAACCAAATATCATTACAATATAATTCTTACAAAAAAATCCAAAAATTCATTTAAGACAAAATAGTCATACAATTATATGTTTATTAAAATATCCTCATTATACTTTTATTAAAATACATAATCATCTTAATGGTCACACTCACACAAAAGTTCGAAAACGAAAGTAGCTCAAACTCGTCTTGGACAGTTTTTAAGCTGCTTTTTAAAACAGCTTTATAGTACAAAAATTTCAAATTTCAAATTCAATAAATTTTTATACTAAAAAGATGTTTTACAAAGCAAGAAGAAAGCCGTCCCATACGAAGCCTTATGTAAGCGAACATTTTGTGATTGGAAAGCTCATATCTTCATCAAACTTATATTTCTAACTATCATAGACAAACTTATTCTATTTTTTTCTTCTCATTTTGCTTCTCTCCTCTCTTATCCCTCCGTTCAATTCATACTACTTTACAAAAACTCAAAATTACCTTATTCTTTCATATCATTTAAAATTTCACGCACCAACTTCTATAATCACCAACACAACGTAAAATTATCTAACCCTACTTTCAATTAATAAAATACTTATACTTAAACTTCTTTAGAAACATTTTTCTTACTGTTTTATAAAATAACTTTTTCAAAACGAAAAATTTTTAACTAAAATATTTTATTTTAAAAAGTAGTAAAAATATTATCCCGAACAAAGCCTGGGAATATATTCCATTTTTAAGAAAAAAATTTATTTAATGTTGTTTACTGCCTCATTTCTCTATATCAAACTTAGGATTAATTATTCCGTGTGCTCACCAGATAGAGTCTGAAGACGAATGAGAACGTGCAAATCACTTTTTTTATTGAGTACCGCTAAGTACCGAGTGACGTGAGACACTCTCATTCATCTTCAGACGATTAGATGGCCGCACATAATAATTTTCTCAAACTTAGGGCCTATTTGGTACAACCATATTTCCTTTTTGTTGCTGCTTTCTTCCAGCTTTTTAGAAATTTTTTTTGATACAAAGTTGCCTTTGGAAACCAAATCCACTAATATGTGGGAGCATTAAGAGCTTATTGTCTCACTTTTCAATATATATATATATATATATATAATTTTCCCGACAACAACTTCATAATCGCATTATAAAAAACTACAGCCACCCCAAACAAACCACCATTCATACCCTACCTTATAATGCATATAAATTATTTGGAGAAGGCAGAGAATCTCAGCTCCAAAACTGATTGGGTGATAGGAGTTTACAAAGAGTCCTCAATTATAAAGAACAAGAAGCTTATCCAACATTGCACCTTTAATATATGTATATATGTTACATGGTAACTGTTCATAAGCTCGGTTTAAGAAAAGAGAAAGATAGATCTGGTTTAGAGAAATTATTCTGTGCAGAGTCCGGACGAGCTCTACTTCTGGAGGCAAATCAGGTGCAGCCACGTCAGTGGTACCGAGCTGCAATACCGAGCAGTACCGAGCCGCGTTACCGAGCGAAGGGGTGACGTGGCGCATTATGATTGGTCTTCAGTGTCTGGACCACGTTCGTTTGGCGTCCGCACATAATAATTTTTCCCTGGTTTGTGATGCAATAATACATAGCATACAATATATTCCAAATTGTAGAATATATAGTTAAGATATGGCTGTATGGATGGTGGAATATTAAAGATCAAAGCTGTGACTGTTGAAGTGGAAGATAGGATGGTTCCATTTACCCCTTATGTTCTGATACCTGCACTCCCTGGCAACACTGGACTGAAGACCAGGTGGTCCACATACAATAACACCGACATTAATGTGTCCCATCTGTTCTGCATATGAGCTAAATATTGCTGGAAAAGAGAACACAGACTTGCCAAATGATTAGTCTGTAGCAACATTTTGATTTGGAATCAAATTTGTTCATCATAATGGTCAGAATGGCAAAGTTATGATGGTTAAAAGAAACTGATATGTTGCTCAATTGTTAATATGATGAAAGTTTTATAATTGACAGAAATCATGCTTGTTGGAACTTATAAGATTAGAGAGGGAGTTGAAGGTAAACTTGAATTATGGAGGTCAACCTTAGAGTCTAAAGGCTTTCGCTTGAGTAGATCTAAAATGGAATATATGTAGTGTAATTTTAGTAGTAATAGACCTAGTGAGGGGATTGTGACTTTGGAGAAGTCATTAATAAGAGTACACGTTTTAGATACCTTGGATCTATTGTTCAGAGTGATGGTGAAATAGATGGGGATATTATCAGCAGAATTCAAGTTGGATGGTTGAAGTGGAGGAATGCATCGGGCTTGTTGTGTGTAAAAAAGTACCGCTCAAATTTAAGGGGAAATTCTATAAGATGGTGGTGAGGCCTACAATGCTTTATGATGTCAAATGTTGGCCATTAAAAGAGAAGCATAATACTAAGTTAAGTGTGGCAGAGATAAGAATGCTCAGGCGGATGAGTGGCTTTACCCTCAGAGATTGGATACGAAATGAGCATATACGTGAAAAGGTTGGAGTAGCTCCAGTAGAAGATAAGATTAGAGAGAGTCGCCTTGATTGTTTGGTCACATAAAACGGCAGCCTTCTGATAACCCGGTTAGAAAAGTAGAGGTATTAGATTTGATTTATGTTAAGAAAGATAGAGATAGACCTAAAAAGACTTTGTTAGAAAATATTAGAAATGATCTTTCTTTATTAGATTTAAACGAGAATTTGTCTTTTAAAAGGACACAATGGCAAAAAAGGATTCATGTAGCCGACCCCACGTAGTGGGATAAAGGCTTGATGTTGTTGTTGTTGTTGTTGTTGTCAGATTATATGGAAGCAAGAAAATAGATCAAAGAATTTACCTCGAAAGTCCGGTCTGGTGCCATATTGAATTGTTTGAACGCTTGAAAGATTTTCTTTCTTATCACCAGTTCCGAAAATATTATGATTCAACAAGCTTTTCTTTTCATTATCGCTTGTCATCCAACTGTCATTGCTTGAACTCTTCATTTCCCACTTGTTCCAGAAGAAAATAACAATGGCTCCAAGTATTACTACACTTGCAACCATGCATAAGGTGAACAAAAGACCTCGGTACCACCAAGCAACAACTTGAAAAGGTTTTATGTAATATAACTCCAGCAAACCATAGAACACAATGAAGCCGATAGTAGACACAAGAACATAAATTCCTGCCCAGACTTTATGCCCTGTACCAACCAAACAAGACATCAAATTACTTGAAGATATCAAGAGTGGAGGGCAATCCATTTTCTCATTGAATCTGCCATCTTCCTGCAACGACAACAAAGAGAGTTCACAGTTAAGCACTGGATTTTGGCTTCGTTTGGGATGACTTTCTTGCTGCTTCATAAAGTAGCTTTTTAGAACAATATAAAAAAATTTATGCTAGAAAGCTGCTTTAATAAGCATAAAGAAAGTCGTCCCAAATGAAGCCTTTATTGAAGGGAAATTAATGATACAGGTAGTCTGCATACCAATGGGGGTTCTAATTCTTGAGTTACATAAGTTTGTATTTCAAGATGCAACTTGTCAGAGAAAGATGGGCAAATCGATTGTGCATCAACTGTTGAAAGAAGAGAGAGCTCCAATGATTTTTTTACAGCCCAAATAACCAAAATGTTCTTTGGCGAGCAGGATTTCCCCTCGCTGGATAGATGCAGTATATCACTCAGGATGGCAAAAAATGGTGAAACTCCAATACCTCCAGCAACAAGAATAAGATTTTCATACCTAAACAAGAAAAAAACATTAATGCCTGGTAATTTTAAAGTTTTCATGATAACATTAAAGCCTGGCTACTCACATCAAGTGGTATGGTACTTCATGCCCATACGGACCTTCGACAGAGACGGTTATCAGCTTAAGTTTAGAACTTAAATCATTTTGATGGTTATCTGAGACACTGTTGATGATATCCCTCAGCTTTTCAGTCCATTTACCAAGTACTTTTATCAGAATTGACAAATGGTGTTTACCATCCAAAGGACTGGAGGAAACACTAAATGGATGCCATTGCAACCATGACAATTCTCGAACTTGAAGGAAGATAAAACTCAAAGCGTTGTAGTGGAGTCCTATAATGATAGCAAAGCTCAAAATATTATACTGGAGTAGTCAGGGCATGTAATTAAATAAATTTGAAATTTAAGCTGGAGCTTCCATTAGAAAATTCAGAAGAATTCCTATGAAATAACTGAAAATAAATAAAAAATTGATACTTGGTGGCTTGGAGAGGATCAATTCTACAGTCCCACATGGCCGACAAGCAGCTGAAACTACATCAACAGTAGTGCGTGATTGGCAGAACCTTAGGAAGCGATCTAGAATGAAAAGGAATATTGCTCCAGCTGCAAAACTGAATACGAAATCTCCAACATGTAGAGCCAAGAAGACAACAAAAATCACGTAGAGTTGATGAGTGTAGAAGAAAACTTCGAAATAAGCCCTCCTTACAGGACGAAGAGATGTCACCCACATCAACAAGCCAGCAGAAAGGCTAATAACCCCAGCAAGATTGGCAACACCAATGTCTCTCCACTCTAGAATCTGTAGCCAAAAGATTGGATCTCATTGGACTAATAAAGACAATGATACAAGAAAATGATGCCTGCAAGTAATAATAACGTTTGAAAGAGACTCTTTTTCATCTGAATGTACATGAAAGAGCCTCTTTTCCATCTGAATGTACATGTGCTGGCTAAGCTTTACATGTTTCACAATTCATAGAGTATTAGACCGGTCCAGCCGGTCCGACGGGACCGCCTCACACAAAACAGGCGGAACTCTCCGCCTATCTGTATGCTCCGAACGGAGGCTATGGGCGTCGGGGGCTGTTTTGGAAGGATTTTTTGAGGGGTTTGGAAGGGAAGTTTGAATGTATGGACTGTTTAGAGATTTCCTTTTGAATTGTATGCATTAAATAGTTTGTTTTTCTAGGGGTTAGGGCATCTTGAATTTGGCTGAAATTTGTGATCTCCTAGATTTAGGTTTTATTTGAGCTCTAGCGGCGTCTAGAGATTTGGGAGAGATCGATCCTCCTCTCAAATAGAAGATCAAGTGTATCTTGCTATTTTTCGTTTCCCTTTCATAAAAAAAAATACAAATTATCTACCGTTTTTGAATTTTGTGTGGATTTTGGTAGAGAAATCTCGTTGTTTTTCCGAAGATTGATAGGAAATACTTGAGATCTACAAGTACTTCCTATCATAGAGATCAAGAGAAATATTACAATGTTGATACAAAAACTCAAGTACGCATCATAGTATTTTTTAACTTGGCAAAGCTATAATATATCAATACATGATTGTTTGACACAATCCATCTAATTTCAAAAAAAAAGAGCAAAAAGCTCAAACATATTCCTTGGTGGTCATGTTCTCAATAAATTTATAGAAATCCAGATATTTGTATATTTAGAAATACTTAATTCTTATCATCGATTAAAAAGGCGTTCGAGGCGGAGGTCGGGCGAACTGAGGCTCGGGCGAGGCTTACGCCTTTTTCCACGGAGGCGTACGCCTCACCGCGTGAGGCGTCGAGGCGCATCGAGGCAGCGCCTCGAAAGTGAGAAAGTTACCTTCATAACTCTATTTGAATTTGAATTCAAATATTGTTAACTTGAGAAACTCTCCTAAAATAGATTAGCTAATTTAGGAAAGATTTCAAAATTCAAAAAGTTTTGAATTTGTGAATTTTGAAATGAGGGATTTGTGGAGGGAAAATTTTGAGTTAATGAGGGAGTTAATTAGGAGCATTAATTGGCTCTTAATTAAGCAAAGGAAAGGAGGAGGGGCCGGCCTAGGAGATTCTCGCGTTGGATGGGGAAGGTGGCCGGCGGGTGAGGGAGTTGGCCGTGGGCTTGGAGAGGAAGGATGGGGGTCGGATGGGGTGAGATCCGGCGGCAAGTGTGGAGGATGAAGACGACTAGAACAATAAGGAGGAACAAAAGCAAGGGATAAAAAACAAAAGAGAGAAAATAAATGATAAACGATAAAAACCGCGAGCCTCGGACTCTTCCGAACACTGACGGGTGATGCTTTGCCCTTCTCCAAGGGACTTCAATTCACGAGCCCGGACCCATCCTGCGGCTGGTGAAACTCCGATTCCTTCCCATAGGAATCTCACTAATGCTCTCTCCCAAGAAGAACATAAGTGTGGACACAAATTTTTTTAATATCAAATCTTCATCCCTTTTACAATAGCTTAAGGCCCTATATATAGGCCACAACATGAGAAAAATCAAAATTACAAAATTGCCCCTTCGGCCACAACACTCAAATAAACTAACCTAGGGATAAAACAGGAAATACATCAAATAAGAATTAAAATGCATAAAATAACTCATAATTGAAAATTTAAATAATGGATGTCGATTTACGATGCCGCCTGTGATAGATGCGTCAAATCTTCGTACCGATATCCGCATCATTATCTCTACATCTCACACACACAATCATTCTCCCTTTTGGCACAAGCACACCTACAAAGCAAACACATCAGCCTTCTATGCCTACATACATCTTTTTTGGCACTGTGGATAAATTATATTGTGTGCTCTCTTTTTCTTTTGTTTTTTTCATTTTTCATGTGCAAGTTACTTCTCCATAACACTCATACACACCTTTCCCGATATCGTTGACCCAATTACACCTCATTCGAGTCCTCCCAAACCACCCATACATAGCTTTCTTGACAAAGTGGAGGACAAAACACAAGTCGTGCCTTATACATCACCGCTATATTCTTCGCGTGATGTATTGGGCAGGCCTAACATCATTCTCGACAACCCTGATGCATCTCCCAATGGAGATGGGATAGAGTAGTACAAAGACACTTGAAATCCATCTAAAAAAGTAAACAAAAACAATTTAGAGAAACCATGCAATGACAACAAAAGAATGGGTGGGTAAAAAAAATAATAAAACCAAGCAAAAATAAAGACCCAAAATGCATAAGTTGGATAAAAAGAACAAAAATTGAACTTACATGGACTTTGGTGTGGGCCCCGAAAAACAAATGCCCAACTCTACTACGAAAGTTTATGTGCTTCTAGGTCAATTTTGTGGAAGATAGATTAGATTGCATATAAGGTACTGCCTATAGATTTGACCCTTATTTTATGAGGACTTTATGATCTAGTTCCAAAGTTTTCATAGGCACCAGCACCTAAGGTTTGTTAGAAGTTAAATGCTTAGCATATAGTAGTAACAAATTTCATAAAGAATTGAAAATTTATCACTTTAAACTTAAAGCATATTGTAGAGGTAATAATGATGAGCTTGATCAATATCTTATTACTTTGTAAATTCAAGCTATTATGATCCCTAGCCCACTTAATCAGAGAAGGAAATCATCCCAATTTGACTAAAAGATCTTTGTCGACAGCTATAGATTATTTTGTCCAATGGGACCTTATAGGTTTAGATTGGATGTTTGTATAAAGGGATAAATTTAAATCGACCTTAGCTAACAAAAGACTTTGTGTTATATGAAGTGCACCTTATGATTCATTATTTAAAAAAAAAAAATTAGCCACCGGAGAACTTGAAAACCTCTAGTTGTAACCATAATTCAATGATTTCATTTTGAAATGATACCACTAGATCAAACGAACATATTATAATCATTTACCTATGGGATGGATCTGCTTACCTACTAGACTTGTTGAGGTCTTCCCACATGATCTTCCCGATCCACTGCCTCCGATTAGAGACATCCCGTATGTTTTAGATCTGGTCCCTGGAGCCTCTCTATCTAAACTCCCCCCAGTCGAGCTCTCCTACCTTGACTCTATGACCCGTATCACTAGTTTAAGTCCCGCCAAAGCTGTTTATGGGTTCCAACCTAGGCCTTCGATAGATCTCATACACATGTGTCCTAGGTATGGGATTCCTGAGTCTGCATCTACATTTGCATTGCATTTGCATTGCATTTGCATGATTTATATAAGGAAATTGTACGCAAAATTGAGCATAACAGCATTAATTATAAGCTTCTTGTTGATTTTAAACAAATACTTAAAACTTTTGAGATTGGTGACTCAGTGATGGTGCAGATTCGTCCGGAACGATTCCCACAAGGAATTGTTAAGAAGTTACATGCCAAAAGTGCGGGGCCATTCAAAATAATCAAGAGACTCAACGACAATGCTTACGAGGTGGATCTGCTAACATAATTCAACATTAATCCCTCCTTCAACATAGAAGATCTGGTTGCCTATGAGGGTCTGGAGTGTAACCCGCCAAATCCACTTCAATTCGAACATTGTGTGACCCCACCTTGTGAGAACCCAAGCTTACCTCCACTCCCAATTATTTCTAAAATACTTATAGCGGAGAAGATTGGCATGATTTTAAGTGATGATATTATTTCTGTAAAAGAGGATGGTCGAAAAGGTATTTAATTAGGTGGAAAGGTAAACCAGAGTCAGAGGATATATGATCAGAGCGCGAGGAGCTACAGCGGATCGACCTAGATGCACGAGAGTTCTCAAGACACCCACTCGACAGAGTCGAGTTTTCTCCCACCCGGGGAGAATGATGAGGACATCAGAGATCTACGGCTACGATCGTGCCTATTTATTTTGATCTATTTTGAGTATTTGATTTGTTATTGTTCTTTTTCCCTTTCTACCCTCACTTGAGGGCTTTGTCTTATGTATGCCTTAGGGGCAATAATGTCTTTGTTATTTTCCCTTAATGTATTTAGCTATTTAAAGTCACCCTCTTCCTTGGGAGAGGTTAATGAATGAATATTACGAAAATTCCTGTACAAATGTTCTTTAAGTTGTGAGAGTTCTATGAAAGAGCTTTAGAGAGATCCCTAGGGAGAAAGTTGGATCACCCACCAACCTTGGAGACGGCCGGGTTTGTGGTTCTTTCTTTTATCTCCCTTTCTTCCTTTGCCACCAAGCCGCCCACCGTTAAGCCCATCCCATCCCATCAAGCCGCCGGCCACCATACAACCTCCACTCGCCATCGGGTAAAATCAATTCCATTCCTACCATCATCCGACGAACCACAACCACCTCCCCACCCCACCGAAATTCCCCTCTCAAATCCATCAAGCCGCCGGCCTCATCTCCCTCCTCCCTCCGAAATTTAAATCCCTATTTGAATACTTTCCATAAATACTTCCTCTTGATTTGGGAAGGTCTAATTTCAAAATTCAAACAATTTGAATTTGAAATTTTCTTTCTTAACTTAAGAAAACTTATTTTAGGAAAGTTTCTAAATTTAAACCAATTTGAATTTCAAATTCATTTGGACTCAATTAAAACATTTCCTAATTCCTAAACCCAAAATAACAAACCTTTAATCCCTCCCCTTAATTCCCTACAAGGCCTTTAATGCCGCCAGCCCCCTTAGGGATTGGATTAGGAATTCTTTCCTAAAACCCAATTCTTCACTTTAGAAATATTTCCAAATCTCATGCTCCCTCCTTGGCCAAAATTTTGAAAAGCCCACCACTCTTAAATACTTTCCAAACCCTAACATTAGAGTTTGGAAACAAATTCCTCATCCCCACCTCTATCTTGGCCCTCCCCCCCCCAAAGGCCCGCATCAATTTCTGTCCACAAAATTCAGCCCCCTCAAGTTGGAAATATTTCCAAAACCTGGCCAATACCCACCCGACTCCTCCCTAGCAGTTTTGCTAGATCTACCTTCTCAAAATTCCTCCCAAACTCCACCCGTTTTGTATTTCCTGTTCTCCAAGCCTGCTGCCAGAATTTCCTGCACCTGTTCTTGGCTTTTCCAGAATCCTCCCCAGTCAAAGCAGCTGTCCCTCTTGTTATAATTGCTGTCCTGCATCATTGAAACTTTAAAGCTGCTGTCTAAAAGCTTCCAGCAGTCCATAACAGCTGCCCAAGGTTTTTACAAGCATTAGAGGTTGCTGTCCAGAGTTTCCCAAGTATCAAAATTGCTGTCCAGCAGTTGTAGCAATCTCCTATTGCTGTCTCGCTGATTTTAAAGTTCAAATCGCTGTCCAAAGACGTCGAGAAGAATCATGGTTGCTGTCTAATTCCTCTCAAGCATATAAACACCACACCGGAGCTTTGTTCAGCATATTTATTTGGGTGATCTCTCTTCCTATTCTTTTATCTTTTAGTCATTCTCAATTGTAGCTCTAATTGACTCATGGAAAGTTGTGTTAATTCTTCGCGCTAAAGCCTAGCATTTATTAGGAGTTGTGCGAGAGATCTTTCATAGCACTACTCTTATTGTTAGATTAGGGATCTCTTGTTGAAACCCATTTCGTTTGCAACGTCTAAAGCAATTGATTATTATGTGGTTTTTACTTTTTGCAAGTAACTTGGCCTAAGCTTGTGTTTACCGTTCTTTGGTTTTATTTATTTGTTTGAGTCATCACAAAGCTTTAATTAATTCTCTCATACTCATTAAGCGTACAAATTCCTTATCTAAATCAAATTTCACATATGTCCTGCATCACTTGTCCATCACACAAAAAAAGAAGTGCATGGTTAATGTCCTATAAAACTATGGTAGAATTTTTCAAATCCCATCACACAAAGGTAAGCATGTATAGGATATCTGTACAGAAAAATTTTGCAACAAATATGATTTTACCCTCCACACTATAAACTTGTTCGAATGCAGGATTTAGGCCATATTTAGGTCAGATTTAAGCTAAGTCCGGCCAAATGCCGAAAAATACGAAGTTAAATCTCATGGTATGTCTAATATTGATTTCACAACGCTTTCGTCATTTTTGCCCTAAACCTCGGATTTTGTAAATCCGAGTTTTTGCGGAATTTGCAAATTCAACAGAAGAAGCGCGCAAAAGGGAGAAATATCGACACCTTTGCGACGAGCTCCTGGCGCGACTTCCGATCCGAAAGGAACGTTGGCGGAGGAGGCGAAGAAGCTTCCACTCCATCAGAACTCTACTTCACTAACAACAAATAAATGTAGAAGAGGAAAAGCAAACCCTAGACAAGCAATGGTCAGCTACTCATTCATAGCTCTACTTCACGCGCAAGGTAACAAAGAAACAGAAAATAGGGAAACCCAACCTGCCTATAAGGATTAGATTAATTATTAATTATTTTATTAAGAACTATTAATTATATAGCTATTTAATTAGCATTTACTTAGCTTAATTAATATAATTTAAAATATAAATAATTAATTAGAAAATTAATCATGTAAATATTAATGAAATAATTAGTTAGAAATAGAATAATTAATTGATTAATAAGATAATTATAAGTATAATTAGAAATTAAAAGTTTATTAAAAATAATATTTAATTTGATTTATATTTAAATAAATTGAATTAAATAAAAAAAATTAATAAAATATACCCGAAACGGCTCGGGTTCAGGTTGACCCGGACCCGAAGCGGGTCTGGTTCGGGTCGGGTTGAACAATGTCGAGTCAATTTCGGGTTGGATCCGAACCCGACCCGTGACCCATTTTTGACAGCCCTATATGTATGTAATATTAAAGTTTCAAATATTAAATATATAAATAGGATAGTATAAAATGATATGTATGTAAATCTTTCTTTTTTTTATTTGAGTTTCTCATCGAAATAGTAATTTTTTAGCAAAAAAAAAATTTATTCAAACATCTTTAATAATAATTAAAAAAACTGCCTCATGAAATCAAAATGCAAGAAGGCAGGGTACAGATATTCAGATTCCAAAATTTTAATTTGTATTTTTTTATTTTTTAACAGTAAATCTATATATAATTAATATAAAACTAAATTTAAACCGATAAGTTTAAGTTAATTTTGAATAATAGTAATAATAAATTATTATTAATTCAGTGAAAAGAAAAAAAATTATTTAATTTTTAATTTTATGTATTGATTTGACATTTAGATTTTTTGGGACAATTCTATTCCACTACATTTTTTTTTCTATTTTTAAGCCTATCTCTAACTGAAAATTTTAATTTCCACTTCAAAATACAATAATTCTTCATAATGTAATAATTCGTCTTCAATCAAACTCCATTTTCAAACACTAAAAAATATATATTTATGAATATTCTTTCTTATATTTTATTTTATATTTAGTTTTACTCATTTATGTATATTTATCAATTTTTTGTTATTCAAACTTGTTAAGTATTTTAATTTTTGTTTTTTACTTCATTGAAGTATTGTATTACTCGATATCATTTAAATATATATGAGAATTTTATCTTAATTTATATATTAATGTTGTATCTTAAATAAATTAATTATGTAAAAAATATTTTATAAATTCAACAAAAATAATGTGTTTTTAAATTATTATTTTTTTAATTACTTTTAATAAAATTTTACACTTAAAAAACTAAAATTAATAACCTAATTTTAGGTTTTAAAAAAAGATTAGGTGCGAACTATTCACACCCTCACACGAATGGCATTTTGTTGGAGATCAGATAGATCAAATGACAGACGCCAAACGAGTGCTACGTGTTCGGCTGGAGATATTTTAAGAGATTTTTATACTAAAACATAGCTTTACAAAACAGTAACAAAGTAATTCCAAATGAAGCCATAGACTAATCAAATTTCGAAATTCTCACATGAAGTTTTTGCAGTTTCTCTTAGCATAGAGATAATGGGTAATAGGTTTACAGCTAATTTTGATGTTCCAAGCAGGCCTATGAAGCCAATTTCGTTAATCAACAGTGCTCGAGCAATTTTTGCATAGCTTATGGTTTGTAGTCCGCCATTTTCATCGTGTAGCAATTTCATTTGGTGATGCAGGAAATCTTTTCGGGGTATTTTTAATATTTAAAAACACTAACAATGTTTTGCAAAATGAGCAATTTTGCGTGATATTTTGTTTGTAGTTCGAAATTTTCATCAAATTCCACCAATTTGATTGTGAGAGCTCTCAATTGGTTTGTTTAGCGCTGTTAATATTTGACACGACCCGAAAATCCGATACAAATCCGATCAAAAAATCCGGGTTAGGGTCAACCTGGACCCAAAATGGGTCAGGTTCGAGTTCGGGTTCAACAAATTGACTCCTTTCAAAAACTGAGTCGGGTTGACCCAGAAACCCGAAAACTCATTTTTGACCCGAAAAACCCGTGGTTGATCTGGTTTTTACCTGAAAATCGAAGATTGACCCTTTTTTGACCCGAAAACTTTCTATCGGCCTCGGGTCATTGGGTTGTGTCGTGTTGATTCGGACTCGAAGCAGGTCAGATTCGTGACAAAAAAACGGACTAGTTTATAAAAACGGGCCGGGTTCGGGTTAACTTGAATAGTGCCAGGCCGATTTCAGGTTCGACCCGAACCCAACTCGTAGCCTGAAATTGACACCCCTAGGTTGGTTGATACTTTGGATGTACCGAATGGTACATGTTGTGGAATAGACCGTGTTTTTTTAGTGATTTCACCTTAACAAGTTTTTGCAAAGGTGGTCGTAAAACTATTGTGCAAAAAATAACTTTTTGGAAAGTTACTGTAAAAATCAACTTCCTAGCATAAAAATTATCTTAGAGGAGCGAAAAAACAGTGGCCAAATAAAAATCTGATTAAGAACTAAAACACACAATAGTAAGAAAGCTACCCCAAGCGAAGCCTTACCTTCAATATATGTGCAAGTTCCAGTGCCATTAAAGTCAACGACTAATTTACCAAACGATGCTAAATCTAAAAATTGTCCATGCAAAGTAGTTATAGAAATCTTAAACTATTAACTTAGGCTTCGTTTGGAATGGCTTTTCTATTGCTTCTTAAAGCGGCAATCTAGTAAAAAATTAAAAAAATTATACTAAAAAGCTGCATTAAGAAGCAGTAAGAAATCCGTCCCAAACTAAAATTTAAACTTACTTGTTGGAGCAGTCGTCCCTGTATCGCCCATGCTATCACATAAAACAGTCCATGCAATGTGAAAATAGCCATGGTGAGATGTCCCAGCCAGACGTGATATCGAGTAGCTTGCTCAAATGGAATATCTGTCATTCGGAGAAGAATCGACCCTCTTGCAATGGGAAGAAATAGAAATGCTAAACAAAATAGTCCAATTAAACCCAGACGAAGCCCAATAATCTCCAGCATCAACAACCTGCATATCAAATTAACCCAGAAATGAGATCAAGAGCTGGAATGAATGAAACAGAGAATTAGGCTTCGTTTGGGACGGCTTTTTTACTGCTTCTTAAAGCAATTTTTTTGTATAAAAATTAAAATTTTTAAACTAAAAAGTTGTTTTAAGAAGTAATAAAAAGCTGTCCCAAACGAAACCTTAAGCTCAAATGTGTTTATGGTTAAAGAGGCTGCGGCTGCAGCAACAGAGCACTATTCATTGTGGAACTTACAGAAATAAGCTCAGCATTCAGAATGCAGAGTGCATAGAACGTGTTTTAGGGAAGAAGATATGTAATATAGAACTACATATGAAACTGTTCGACAAGAACTAAAGGGAAAAAAAAAATTCTTCAAGCAGAGTAACGACAAAAATTAATTTCTATCAGCAGAAACCCGGAAATAAGCAGTTCCAGACAAAGGCTTCTTTTGGATGGCTTTCTTACTGCTTCTTCAAGCAGCTTTCTAGAAAATTATTCTAAAAAATAGTAAGAAAGCCATCCCAAATGGCACATGATACCATCAAGGTATATTTTTAAAATTTTTAGGGATAAAAAATTGAAGCCCTAAGGGTCAACCTTCCCCTTTGCAATGACATATACATTGCGAGAGATAAGTTCACTCTAATGATGCATCTTAGAGATGGTTATCCTCATGAAGACAATTACGATGTAAGGTGCATCCATCTGAAAAATAACATGACTCCAATGGTGCTAGGATCTTGATGCAATCATGTTTAATCATTTTATGTCTTTTATTATACTTTATTTTTTCTTATGTTTTTGGATGCTATGTAAGTTTATTCTGTCTAGTCCTATAATGAAAAACAACTCATGATCATGCTTGGGTTTGGTGCTTTAGGAAGTTTCACTCCTTTGGTTTCCACTTGTGTTGATCTAGCTTCTTTGCTAGTTAGTTGGATATTTATTTTGGGCGGTTTTGCTTATTGGGTTTGACCCAACTCTTTCTCTATGCTGGTTGTTTTTCCCCATATTGATGTCCCGTTTACCCTGCTGCTGACTTTCCCTATGCTGATTTTTTCCCCATGCTGTTGTCCCATTTTTCCCTGCTACTGGTTGTTCAATTTCCACCTTGTTGTTTTTCTATACTAAGTTCATTAACTCCTCATTAAATGGGCTAACTTGAGAGACTTCTATTGGTTGTTTGGGTGGCATAATTAAGTGAGCAATTTATGACCATTTCTCCCTTTCTCCTATTTATATATGGGTTGCATTGCTACTGGAAGGGGTTGGTTGTTATTGTTGTTGGTGTAATCACACTAAAACTTGCAGGTTATTTAGCTTACGAGCTATCTTCTACTATCTTCATTCTTCTATTTTGTTTCAATTTTCTATCTAATCTTCTCTCCACAGTTTCCCTTCCACCTGTATCTTTCTTCTCCAAATATTGTGAGTGTAAGGTGTTGTTGTGCCCCGTTTGTTGGTATTTGCCGGAGGAGTGTCGACTTGAGCTGAATCATAATTTCTATGGCAAACCACTGGTTTGATTTTTCCTTTGAGTATCATTCTCTATTTTTGTGATTTGCATGTGAGGTAGTCTTACAAGGTTGTTATAAGGGTATTTTAATTTAGTTGTTTGGTTATTCTATATGCATTCCTATCAATTTTCTAAACTTTGTTTCCTACTTAATTTTTAATATTTATGTTATTTTGAAAGGGAGCATTTTCCATTGCATTCCTAGTGTTTTCCTACTTGTTTTAGAACTTATATTGCATCAGATCTTGAGTGTCGCGGCAACGGACAAAAAAAGTATTTTTTTAATAAATTAACTAAAGCCATTTATACAAAACCCTCATTCCACCATCCCCCTCCCCATTTTCCTTTGCATGTGAGGTGAGAGAAGAGAGATAAGAGGAAATAAAGAGGGATAGAGAAGAAAAAAAAAGAAATGAGAGAAAAAGTGGGGTTCAGACCAGTATTTTCCATCGCTCCAATTATAAAAAATACTCTAATCATGGTAGGTAACCTAAACTCTACTTTTATTTTTGATGATTTTGAGTTTTGTCTATTCTTCCTTCTGATATTAATAAAAATGTAATATCTCACGTTCTAGTCAACTTTCACTGTATAACTTTTGATATGTGATAAATATCATCAACCTGAATATTTTGACAGACTCATATTAAAATTTCGTCGATTAGTTTTGCAAATATATTATTTTATTAAAAATGAGTGAAATAATATTAAGTACAAAATGATTATGAGTCAGTGTGCTACATTTAGACATGAAATGCATGATATGTATTGATTTATTATTCATATCATCTAATATATATTTGACATAATACATACAAACTAATGAGCATACTAAATAGATCTACATACTATAATCATTGCATATGGTGTACATGATGTATGTTCATATAATTTATATGACATGAAATATGTTTAAAAGCAAGAAATGCTAATTAAATGACATGAATTAAGTAATTCAAATAAAAAAAATTACTGAAATTTTCATAAAAATTTTGAAATAGGTAGAAGAAGTGAAAAAAGAAAGATGGGTACTAGGAAGAGGAGGTGGCGGCGGCAACGTTTTGCTCATCGAAGCTCAACAATGATAACAAAGGACACGTGGTGGCTGCTAGAGAGCGCGGCTTGCACCAGACAAAACATGCACGCTGTTCTTCGTGAAGTCGTGGTTTCGACCTTTAACTCTAACTCTCGAGTGTGTTCTTCGGCCGAGTTGGATTAGGGCATAATATTTTACTTCTAATTTAAAAAAAAAAATTACTCTTGAGGGTATGCCTCACACCTAAGAGCATGCCCCAGCCAAATCGAGGCACATACCTCACAAAGATGACCCATGGTGTGCGCTTCAAGGCATTTTTAGCATACTTGCAATAAAGCATGCCTTGTCTTTGCACAATTTTAAACAGTGGAATTTTCATAAGACTTAGAGATCTTATTTGGTGAATTATTTACAGGTTAACTTTTCATCTGCATATTTTATGAATGGTTCATGTGCATGATTGAGTTTGGTCAAATTTTGTATAATATGAATTTCTTGTTGTGATGTATTCTTAATCTCATGTGGTTTTCATTTATCATAGATTTATTTGGTAAATTTATGTTTTGGTGATCATTAAATTGTCATTTGAGACAAGTTCTATGTATCCTATTATTTTTATCAGAAGAGATAAAATTTGTTCAGATAAAAATTTATAAATTGCAATTTTGGTTTGTGCACCTCTGACTTCGAGCATCTCATCCTAAATCGACATTAAGATACTTAAGGTCTGAGATGTTCTGCATCACAAAAAAAAACAGAATATGCACTTCAAATTCAGAAAAAGAGTGCAGGCTAACTATGCTTAGATCAAGGACAATAAATGTAGCCATTACCTTTTTTCCTTCAATGTTAGTGAATATCTCTCAATCGCGCTATTGATTTGGAGTACATAGGCAGCAAGAGACCAAAGGACATATGCAGAAAATATAACAATTCCAATCAGTTCTGCGGCAGAGACAACACCGAAGGGTCCACTGACAAGTACAGGGAACGTCCACAAACGATACCTTGGGAATTTATAATTGTTCCTCCTGCAAAACGGTTTATCAGATTTAACCAAATCAACTTCTTATTATCATCTAAATACATTGATACAATTTAATGTGGAAGAAAAATTAGATTACTGAGTTGCCAGAAACTTTCATACTCGAAGTTTTCTCTGGAGAAGAAAGCTACATAAATACATGCCAAGATTGCAATGGCAAGTATTGGAGCACTGAAACCAAGGAATATACTTCCTGCATTTTCCACAAAGATAAACAACAGGCCGAGCAAAAGTTAGCCTCTGGTGAAAGAAAACTGATCAATAGAGTAGAAAAGAATTCCAACCTGTGACTCCAAAAATAGATCCTTGAGTTGTTTTAATCCAGTTTGATAATAATTTTTGCACAAACTCTGTCGGCAAGAAAAATATTGTAGCAACCCATATAATAAAGACCACCCAAATCAAAGATTTAACCACCAATTTTGCCAAAGTTTGCAGAATAGGCCTGTTATTGGAGTTATCAAACTCCAACTTTCTGTCCGCAAGAAGGGGAACTAGAGCTGAGAGCTCAGCCATGGAAGAACCAAGTTTACCTAAAGCAACCAGCTGCTGTTAGCTTCCTCAACCCTCTTAATAGAACAGCAACATAGCTGATCTTTTTATACAGCCGATGGTTAGACAAATTGACTCATTCTTGAAAATAATAATATTAATAGTAATAAAAATAAAGTTATCCAAGTAAATATAATGTAAATAATTAAAGCGATTGACCAACTGACAACAACTTTATCATGATGGATACATGCAACTATGCAAGTTTCAAATATCGCAATTAGGGTTTACAAATCAAATCTTACAAATACTAAAACAAGAAAAAGAAAAATTCGAAATAGTTTCTAACTAATACTCATCTCGCATCCTCACAAATCACCAATTATAAAAACTTGAACACCACATAAAACAGGAAAAGATAAAAACAAAGAAGGGTTAGAGGACACCTTTCCCTTTCAAAGAATTCCTTCATCCAGACATGGATTTCTGTGATCCAATAGCCTCAAATACTGCCCGTCATCCAAATTTAAGAGGCGGGCATTTCAGAAACAAGCTTCAACATTAATGGACGTTAACCACTGTCCTCTCCCTGATCAGGATTCCTATGGCCACGACCCGATTGGTAAAGAAAAGACGCGAAGAGATAATACCAAATCAGTCACTGCCGGAATACGAGGATGCGGGAAGAGGACAAACCAGTAGAGCATTCTTGAAGATAAAAAGAAGATCAAATCGTAGCTAGCGGAATCAACAGCTGTAGCCATGAGCGAGAGAGGTGATATTGATACCTTACCGGCTTACCTTGATCCGTCAATGGTTGAGAAGCCATAAGGTCGGATAAGGCGCGGAAATTCGCCGCGAAGCTTCTGAAAGTCACTGTAATGGCAGAGTGACACCGCTCATCTCGAGCGGTTTCAGGGCAGTCGTGTCGGCATTCGTATCGTAACATTTAATATTTATAATTTTATATATAGCTACTGAGCTTTATAATATTATTTTTCTTATAATATTTTTAAATAAATCACGTCCATAAAAAAAAATTATCTATTTGTCTAATATTTAAAAAATTAAAAAAAATATTAAAGAATATAAATATCTAACACTATTATTTTTTAAATTTATGTAAATGCTGATATATTCTTTTTCTAATTAATGTATATTTTAATATATTATTTTTTAATAAAAAAAGCTTTTTATATTTTATAATGTATCTATATGGACTATTATCTATGTTATTTTTTATTTCAAAAAATATTTTCTTAATGTACTTGCGTTTGATATAGTAGTATATATATATATATATATTTCATGCTAAAATGATTCTAACAAGATTAAATAAAATTCCATTCATATTTGGCTAATTTATAAAATTAGGCTCAAAATATATGTTTATTTTGGACGGTTTGTTTTCTATCCATGAAAGAAAAACTTTTTTGATAGCTCTACAAATGATTTGACAAAAGAATTTCATAAATAAAGTTGCACTCATTTAATCCATGAATAAGATGTTTGAGAATCTAATGACTCTAAGTATAAGACAAATAATAATAATAATAATAACTTTTTCTTAATTTAATTAGAGAATTAAAAAAACAAATATAGAGTAGAATATTGACCCATATTTGAATAATCATAGCAATAAACAATTTGGCCAAAAAAAATCATTGTAAATATCACAATTAGGGTTTACAAATTAAATCTTACAAAAAATTTAAAAATAAAAAAATTGAAATAGTTTGTGATTAAGGGTTCGTTTGGGACGGCTTTTTTTATTGCTTTCTAAAACGGAGTTTTAGTACAATTTTTTTTTTATTTTTGTACTAAAACTCCGTTTTAGAAATCAATAAAAAAAATCGTCCTAAATGAAGCCTAAGAGTCATCACACTCTGATGAATAAATCAAATGTAAGAACTTGGGCGCCACATAAAATAGGAAAACATTAGGAAAAAAAAAAAGGATAAATGACACATTTCCCTTTCAAAAGATTGATTATTTTAGAGATACGGATTTATGTGGGGCAATAACACCACTAGCTCATACAGTCATACTGATACCTCCTATCTTTGAAAAAAAAAATCTATGAATTTTGATATATATTAGAATTTAAAACACTAATTATGGATTCATTCAAACTAGGCCAACCCTGTGATTTTCCCCCTTTTTAGGGGTTTTCACATAAAAACTCTGGTGTGCCTTATGACTGCTACACGCTCTCTTTTATCTGATTGTGTGTTGTATTTTCGTATAAAGCTAAGACGTTAAACTTTATATTTATCTATCGTCATGAATATTCCACATAAAATAGGAAAACATTAGGAAAAAAAAGGATAAATGACGCATTTCTCTTTCAAAAGATTGATTATTTTAGAAATAAGTATTTATGTGGGCCAATAACACCACTAGCTCATAGTGATACTCATATCTTTCAAAAAAAAAAATTCTATGAATTTTGATATATATTATAATTTTAAAACACTAGTTGATTCATTCAAACTGAGTCAGATCATGTGATTTTTTCCCATTTTTGAGGAGTTTCCACATAAAAACTCTGGTGTGCCTTATGACTGCTACATGCTCTCTTAAAAAATTATAGATCTTTGAAATAGTTAGTAATTAATATATACTCAAAACTTGATGGCCACATGGGCATATTTTCCTTGCAAGTTGCAACAGTGACACCTATGTCTTTATGTAGTGGATGGAGAACAAAAAAATCTTTAATTTTACATATTACATATTATTTACAAATGTAATTAAATAATTAGATAGTTCAAATAAACTATTAAATAAATATAATTATATTATGAAATAAGTATAGCTAAATTATTAGATGTTTATAATATTATAAATTTCTAAAAAATTAGCTGTGTTTGTTTAATAATTTAGTTGTATTTTTTTAATAATTTATGATATGTAAAATAAAAAAATGTAATGTAAAAATAATCATGTCTTGATATAAGCAGAATATACTGATATAATTTTCTTCCCAATGAAGTTCTATTTCATTTTCATAATTAGGGATTTGCATTATTTGGATAAAATTGAAAATAAGAATTTAATCGATTTATTAAAAAAATATTACCATTAATAAAACTATTGCCTCCCCATATTATGTAATTAATTTTTTTCATGCAAAAATAGGTTAATTAAGTTCAACATAAGCAAATATATCCAGTGTTGATAAAGAAAGATAATTTAAATAGAAGCAAAGTATTCATCTTGATATTGAGAGATTATTCATCAATAAAAGGGTTATCCCTATTTGTTGGTTCCAAAAGCATTTTGGAAGATATTTGCCCAAATAAAAATATAAGGATTTTTTTTGTTCGGCGTGTTTCAATTTGCAATGTATATTGGGAGTGTATTTGAATAAATTATAAATAACTGACTCATCCTCCAACTTTAGGGCAATTAGATTGCGGCCAATTTGACCAGTTCAACCATGAACTGGTCTGAAGGCTGGTCCGGTTAAGCCTTCAAAATCAACTGTGCACCAAATCGGTCCCGATTTTTTAAAATTGGCCGATTCAAAAAAATAAAAAATAAATAACTAAATAAATTATTTAATATTAAATAAATGTTAAACTTAATCAATTAATATAATATTATATATAAAAACTCTTAAATAAGTAATAAAGACTATGATTAAATGTTAATTGCAACATACTCACATGACTCCATTATTCTATATAAGTGAAAGCAAAAAAGCTATATAAACTATAAAAAGCAAGACATCACAAGTGATACGGGACTAAACCATACAAAGCAAAAAAGCTATCTTTGGTTTCATGTATACACTATTCCTATCTTTGAAAAAAAAAATCTATGAATTTTGATATATATTAGAATTTAAAACACTAATTATGGATTCATTCAAACTAGGCCAACCCTGTGATTTTCCCCCTTTTTAGGGGTTTTCACATAAAAACTCTGGTGTGCCTTATGACTGCTACACGCTCTCTTTTATCTGATTGTGTGTTGTATTTTCGTATAAAGCTAAGACGTTAAACTTTATATTTATCTATCGTCATGAATATTCCACATAAAATAGGAAAACATTAGGAAAAAAAAGGATAAAGGACACATTTCCCTTTCAAAAGATTGATTATTTTAGGCATAAGGATTTATGTGGGCCAATAACACCACTAGCTCATAGTGATACCTCATATCTTTCCAAAAAAAAAAAAAAAATCTATGGATTTTGATATATATTTGAATTTTAAATTTTTGAATTTGAATTTATGAAAATTTTTAGCTTTGATTTGGCAAATTTATAGTAGAATTGAATTCCTCGATGAGATGAACTCAACGACATATGAAATGATTCGATCCGAGTTTGAATGAGTTGAATCTTACGTTAGAAGTATAGCTAGAAATTTTGAGATATTGATTGGAGATCTAATGATCTGCAATTAATGTATGCTTATGGCCAAATTGAGCATATTAGCGTGACGAATCTAATGAGCTTAAGATTCTTTTTCATGATATTCTTTAATTCGTAATATTTTTCTCTTAAATAAAAATTTTAATACCTTTTTAAAAATTTATCCTATACTTTGATCTGATTTAACCTACGGGTGTCAAAAATTGACACAACCCGAAACCCGACCCAGATCCGACCCGGAAAAATCCGGGTTCGGGTCAACCTGTTTGTTAAACGGGTCGGGTTCGAGTTGACCCGATAACCCGCAGGTCGACCCGTTTGCTAAACGTATCAGGTACGTGTCAACCTGTTTATGTCAAGGTTAACTCGGGTTGGACCCGAACCCGACCCGTTGACCCGAATTGACACCCCTAATTTAACCACTATGAATTAATATTAAGAAAAATAAAATATATGAACAAATATATTTAAGCCAATAGCTCGTTACTAAAAAATATTTTTATGAGTAAACATTAAAAAAAGGTTATAAGGTTATATATATATATTGTGAATTAGAAAGAGAAATGATACTAACAAATCAATTGATAGTTAGCTATTAGTGATCATAACATTTTGAATTCAACATGTAAATGAATGTGAACATAAATGAAGAGAAGCATATAAGATTACTATTCAATAAAAAAATAGATGGTAAGCTAAGTGTGGAAATATAAGAATATTAAAATAAAAATAATAAGAATATTAAAATGATAGTTAATGTATATTTAACAAGTAATAGACTCCAAATTAAGGTCCAAACATGCCATTAACATGTTAAAAAAATTAATTTTCAACTTTTAGCAAGGTTCTTGTTTCAAACAAGAAGAAATGCATATTTAATTTACTATCGAATTGTTTAGGGTACAACTACAACTTTCAAATGTCTTGTTAATGAAATCAGGAGGGTGAAAGGTTCTCTGCCTTAACTAGAAGGGTAAAAAAGGATTACAGTTTCTCATTTTTTTTGGGCAAAACTCACAGTTGAGCCTATGCATTAATAATTGTAAATAGTACAAGTCCTTAGAGGATTAGAAGCTCGCTAAAAAATAGCATTTAAAATAAAACTTAAGAACTTTAAACCCTACATAATATATGAAAAAGTAAAAAACAAGAAAAAGCAAAGTACGACTGCAAAACAAATAATGAAACACACAGTCACAAATGCAGCATCCAAAATAACACCACAACACACGACTAATCGACCCAACAAACAACAATCAAGATCAACCCAAGTGATACGCATCAAATCCAAGTAAAGAAAACACCAACCTGCAAACAACACCAAATAGAGAGAAAGAAAAAAGAAAAAGGTAGGAGCAGTACCCCCACAACCAATAGGACAAACCACTAGAATCACACAACAAATTCCATGACTTTTATAATCAGAGTAAAACAACATCAAACCGCTAGATAAATAAATAAACATCCACCACCTAAATAACAAAGGGCTACTTTCTACCTTTCCTTCTACGATGTTTATTACCACGAGAAAAAA